TCGGACCCTCAGAGGGACCGAGCAGAACAGAAAAATAGTTTAAAAAGTTTTTTAAAAAATAATAGGAAACGATTGTGCGGAGCTAGCAATGACAGCTAGCTCCGCCTCACAGTTTTCTATTGTCCAGCGGTTCTGCTGCCGTAAAAAAAAAAAACGAAAAAAAAACCTCTCCCGGGCGCTCTTGGAGCCTCCCACTCCCGGCCGCCCAGGAGAGAAACACTGATTTTTCTTCTTTATTCTGACACGGAGCCGTGTCAGAATAGAAAAAAAATTAAAATAACATTTTGCCCATAGGAATGCATTGCTAGATTCCTATTGGCTATTTCAATTTGCAATAGCCAATAGTAAACCAGCATTGTACCTGCCCTCTGCTGATGGACCTGATGGAGAACTGCAGCAGAGGGCAGGTACAATGCTAGTTTAAAATACAACAAAAAACGGGGAAATGGAGTAGCCTTATTTTTTTAGTATAAAACACATATACCAATCTGCAGGGTTTCAAATAATTGTTCAAAAAACGATCCCCAGCACAAAGAAATCCCTTCTATGGAGATTGGTCTAAGTAAGCAGGTAAATCAGAATTCATAATACAATATTTATTATTTAGAAAAAACATGTATAAACTCCCATTTACAAAACATTTAAAAACAATTAAAACATTCCCTGCACCCTGCACCATAATATCAAACATGCCCATAGATCACCTATATGGTAAAACTCACTAATGTGAATTCAAGATGAATGGGCACTGATCAGAGGAGATGCAATGTATCCGAATTTACTCACATATGCTGCGATTAAGGGGGGGCTCGAGAGAGGCGAACCTGCTCAAGTCCTACACACACGGATGGAAACAGACTTAAAGATATATCCAATACTTGCTGGATTTGTGTGTGAAAGAGTAGATGTCCCGAGTGAGGATCAGCAGCTGCAGTCGCTCATCTCTCTCCCCTTGTATTTTTCGGGGATGCAGAGTCCTGTGCGAGCTTTAATTTAATAGATAAGAGCTCATTCCAAGGAGCTTTAGTAATCCGTGTGCGGCCGCACTGTGTAGAGTAGAACAAACGAGGAAAACAGCTACTTTGCCACTCCGCGATATAATGCATGTGGCTCAATTGAAGCAAATAGTTACCGGTAAAGTGCTGGCAGCTTTTTCCAAACGTTTGAAGGTAAATGGTGGCCGTCCAGTCGCAAGCAGCTCACCACCAGGGATGCTCCTTCACCTCTATTTAAACAATCCGATCGGTAGTATGCATGATATTCGTCCCAAGCCGGATTGTATAGGGGATGAGCAGACGAATGAAAACATCTCTTGTGTCGAGGGCATCCAGGGAAGACTAGCACACGTTAACCCTGACGCGTTTCCTCCCCACAGCTGGGGGCTTCCTCAGCTGTGGGGAGGAAACGCGTCAGGGTTAACGTGTGCTACGCTACGGCTAGATCCTTCGGCAGCTTCGTGAATAGACCCCATTATACTGCGAATTAGTGAAATGAATACTCATTGGGCGGAATTTATCAAAACTAGAGCAGTCAGAAATTGGAGCAGTTGCCCATGGCAACCAATCAGCATCTCTCTTCAGTTTGCTTAGTTGGGATTTGAAAATGAGAGATAGAAGCGGATGGGTTGCCATGCAAACCTGCTCGAGATTTTGTCTGCTCCAGTTTTGATAAATTCCCCTCATGGGAATTAGGAATGCTTTGATACTGATACCAGTATTGGTATCGGTGCAGATACTGAGCATTTTTATGAGTAGTTGTACTAATGAAAATGCCCCAATACCAAAAACCGATACCGGCACTTTAAAGTTTCAAACTGAAGTGTCTGTTTTAGGTCCCTCGCTTGCTGGGGAACTCGCAGCAGTCTTCTTGGGAACCACACGGTGCCTGTTTACAGTGCTTCTTCCATCCCGCACATCTTCCTTCTCCTGAGATCCTCTGCCCAAGACGTCAAGCCGGCACCCCAGAGCAGAGCAGCAGCACAAAGTATGTAGCAAATTCATATACTATTATTCTGCATTACTGTATAATGTATTGCTGGGATTTGTATTCTTCTATAGCTGATCAGGTCCGGATTTCCCACAAGGCCACCGAGGCCCAGGCTCGGGGAGGCAGAGCGCAGAGGGGCGGCAGCGGTGACCTTGTAGGGAAGTTGCGGGTGCTGGTGTAAGGTGTCCGCAGGCCGGCGGCCGCACACTATGGTCCGCCGCCGTCCAATCACGACGGGGCAGCCTGAGGCTCCTCCCACCGGCTCCGTAGTGTGTGGCCGCCGGCCAATCACGGCGAGGCGGGCCATTCTCAATTGATGGGGAGGGGGGTTGGCGGCACAGGGGGGGGGCGTATTGTGGAACCTGGCCTTGGGGCGGCAGGGGGATTAAATCAGGCCCTATAGCTGATGGTATTATTCTGCATTGTTGTATAACGTCTTGCTGGGATTTGTAGTTCTCTCTCGCTGATGGTATTATTCTGCATTGCTGTATAATATATTGATGGGATTTGTAGTCCTCTATAGCCAGTACCATTCTGCATTGCTGTAAATTGTATTGCTTGGATTTATAGTCCTTTATAGCTGATGGTTTTCTGCAATGCAGTATAGTGTATTGCTGGGAATTATAGTCCCACTACCGCTTGGAGTCAGTGGCAGAACTAACAGGGGCCCACCAGTTGCAATTGCCACACTCCACCACTGTCCTAAAATCCTGTGTAATACACTACATACCTGTGTAATATACTACGTACACAGGTATGTGGTGTATTGCACAGGTACGTAGTGTATTATACAGGTATGCAGTGCATTATACAGGTGTTGTTGTGGTCCGACTATCTATGGAATTGGTTGAATTGTACCGACGTTGCTGGAGAACTCTGAGTGCCATTTCGGGAGCACTAACCTGTGCACTGGGTGCGGTAGACTGCTGGGGAGGCAGAGATCCGTTAAGGATATCACAAGATTTCTCTGTAGCAACCTTCCTATACTGTTGCAAGGCTTGTGTGTCAACTGTAGCCCTCCTGTACCTACCAGCAACTGGCCCTGGCCCTCGATTGCGCTTCAGTGTTTGGCCCCGCCCCTCGATTGCATCTCTATGTTTGGCCCCACCCCTGGATTTGGGGTGGGGCCTTCGGGGGTCACATGATTGGGCTGCTCAGTCTAAAATGCCTGGGTCTGTTTTTTGTCCCAGTCTGGCCCTGCTCTGTTCTCATGTTATGAATGAACAGGAACACTCAGGATTCCTGTTCATTGATAACAGGGGCTGCAGAAAAAGAGATTGAGCGTCTGTGTCCTCAATCTCTTTTTTTATTTTAAAAGGGAAATATCAGGGGTCTGTTTAGACCCCTAATATTTCCCCGAAGCCCCTAAAAGTAAAGTAAAAAATAAAAATATTTAATAAAAAATGAATAAATAAATAAAAATAAATATAAAAAATGAAAAGTTTATAAAAAATAAATAAAAATAAAATATTTTAAAACAGTTAAAATAAAAACCATTTTCGGTCTGACATTTTTTAAATTTTGGTTTCGTTTCGGTTTTGAAATTTTCATTTCGGTGCACCTCTAATATATATATTTACAGATAGATAGATAGATAGATAGATAGATAGATAGATAGATAGATAGATAGATAGATAGATAGATAGATGCAGAATTTCCGCTGATAGATAGATATGTGCACAATTCTGCTGTTTCGGCAGTGGTTTTATTTCACCAATAAATTAACAGCGTCAACAGAGAAGGTTTAGTGTATGACTAATTTACTTCAGCCTGTCACCTAGTAAATAGTTTTGACATTTTCTAATCATTTCCTTATACTGATTATCATAGACTTACTATCCCTGCCTGGGAGTGCTGAATTTTTTGTTGTTTTATGTCTTTATGCAAGGCAGCGTGACTGTCAGCTGGGTGGAAAATCTGAAGTTCTTTCAACAGTTACCTGCAGTTCAAAAAAGAGGAAGATGTTTATGTCTCCAGTTGATATGATATTTACACCACTGTGATACCAATACGTTTCATCAAAATATGTGGCGCAGTGATAGACCGTATCGTCCTCTGTTTGCACTCCATTGACAACCAGATACCATCGTCTGTTCGGGACATCATCTTTCACAGAGAACCTTTCAGGGATTCCAGGTCCTTGTCCCTGTGTGCTACCTGTTCTGAAGTGGTACACCATTTCTATAGCACCTCCAGGGGTTTCACGCAGCCAAATTACCCTGTAGATGTCAAAGTTCTTCCCTGTACTCAGAGTGCAGGGAATTTCAGCATTTTGTCCTGCTTGGACCATTACAGAAGGCTCCTGGACCAAAACAGGCTGAAAATCTCCATCTGTTACAAAAAGAAGGTTTTGTATTTAGCGGCTATAAGTACAATTGTAATAGGACTTCCATGCAATATTAATAAATGTAGTATTAATCATCTTAGGAAATACTAAAGGCTTGTACATAAACATTATGAGATACATCAGATCTTTTCAGCTTTTCTAACACTCCAGAAGACAGCTATATCTATATAAGTGTGCAAGCATGGACCCATAACACAATTTACATTTGTACACTTGTATGCCTATTATTCCTATATTCAATACCCTTGTAAAAGCTGCATCTACTACTGTATACCTGTTACCCTTACATGAGATCTGAGTCATTAGAAAGAGAAGAGCCGGAATCCAGATCATTGTGAGAAAAGTGACAGGTCTGTAGGAACAAGACTGCTTCATTCATTTATTTCTCGCAACTTGCAGCAGGCAAATGTTTTCAAATTAGTATTCAAATTTTCCACTTGACTATAATTGCATGTACTTTGACAATTAGGCAGCACCTTCCAAAAACGCAGTACTGCAGATGCTGCTTCAAGATGCTTGAAAAAGGAAATTTCGTACAGGGCAAGATGATCAAACTCCTTAAAGAAGAACTCTGGGCAAAACTTTAATTAACCCTTGCAATGGGGCTACGCCGCACTGCAAGGGTTAACAGCTCGTTATTGTCTAGATTCCCTGCTTCTCCAGCCACTGAAGTCTCTCTCCTTCTACACTGCAGCATTAGAATGCTCCTCAGCGTCCCCACATCTATACACTCTGTGTACAACGTGATGATTTAGGGGACCTTAGACCGCAGCAGCAGAGGGGGTGAGAGGCTCCAGAGACCGGTCTAAGAACAAGCCGGCTTGAAGGTTCCAATGAGAATCGTTTCCTTTTTTTTTTAGCACCCAAGCAAAAGCGAGCAGTTAACCTTTGCAGTACTGGGGTAGCTCCACTGCAAGGGTTAATAAAGGTTTTGCTTGGAGTTCTTTAAAAAAGGCCAAGTGAAACAAAGCTGGTCATACCAAAAATCTAGTCAGAGCATTCAATAATGCCATCCGAGACTTTGAGAATGTTGTTCAAAATTTTGTTTCATTTTAACATTTGATTTTCCCAAATAAAAACCACATTCACTGTTAGAAAACTGTGTTCATTCCGAACAGTTTTTCTATACTGCTCCTTCCATTTTTATTTTTTTTGGCACCATGGTCAAAAAAGATCATCGATTTGACCACATTATCTGCTGATTTGAACACGTTCTGAAAACAAATTTGTTCCAATGACATTTTTACTGGTATATGGCCAGCTTTACAGATCTGAAAGTTTACACTTTTTATTACAGTTATACACAATGATTTGATTTCCTGGAAGACCCAAAAACAGTAAAGACATGCAAATTCCTATGCTCCTCAGCCCCATCTAGTGGCCGTCAATGGCATTTGCCCAGCGTGCGGCTGGGTGGATGATTTATAAATCATGCCCTATTTTTTAAACTATGAAGGCATTGAATTGTTTTGCGTAGACAGTTTATCCTACAAAGTTTGAAACTCTGTCTTATGATCTTGCTCTCTTGTTGTATCTGCACCACCTTTTAGAAAACTGAGGTGGGGTTTTTATGTCAGCCTCATTTGGAATAATGACCCTGCAAAAAGCACCCCCACCATGTGTTTGCAAAGACAAAATTCAGATTTTTTTCACATAGGTGCACTTTGCTTGTGTTTCGACTACTTGCTGACACTGATCTACTCTTTTGGGATTCTGAACACAGATGAGGTTCAGGGTAATCCTTTGTCCCAGCGGATTTATGTGCTCAGAAGGACCAGTAAGAGGACTTTTGAATAAGCCAACCCCATCAATATGAAAGGGGGGGGGGGGGGCTCAGAGCAGCCATGCGTCAGTTTAATATAAAGCTGCTGTAGCGAGAGGGCAGGGAAAGCTGACACACTGCATAGGGAGAGATGAAGGGATTAGGGTCATTTGGGTAATTGTGCTTTACTTCTGATTGCTAACTTTTTGGGCAATCACACCCGTTACTGCCTTTTTTGCTCTTATTTTTGGATTTTTGTCTTTAACTTTGGTCTGTGGTTGATTTGAGGGTAGCGGTCACTAGCTGACGCTCCATCCATAGCAGAGGGTTTTTTGTTTGTTTGCTACAAGGCTTCTTAAAAAACCACGCTCTGTTTCACTGGACGTTTTTTTGTATTTTGTTTGGTGTTTTCATTTCTTTTGGGAGCATATTGCCTCAGCAAAAGGGTGAAAACATAAGATAACCAAGTATTTATCATTAAAGGTAATAGTTGTAATTTTTGCCTTCCAGATCTGATTTTAATGCTAGACAGCTATTGTTCCTTTCTATACTATTCTTTCTTCCTTGACAGTAACTGAATCACAAAATGATCCACAATTCCAAGTACAGCAGGCCTGGGGATAACTGGGTATGATTTAATTGATCTAATTCATACGTTAAAGGCACTTCCCTATGAAGATTTCCTAAAAAAAACTAAATTCTTATACAGAAAGGGTAATTAGCACTTGGACTGGAACTCAAACTGGATTGGTGGATTAAAGCAGAACTCCCGCCAAAAGTAATAATTAAAAAAAAACAGCTTTCCCTGCAATATTCACATTCAATCCACAGTACCTTTGTTCCTCTGCTCAATATCCCTCAGGGGCAGGGCCCTCCTTACCATCTTGTCTTGATTTGTATTGTGATTGTAATGCCTTCCCTACATTGTAAAGCGCTGTGCAAACTGATGGCGCTATATAAATCCTGTATAATAATAATATCCTCAGTCTGACAGCCAGCATCATTCAGCCCACTTTCTCCCTTCATGGACCTGCTTCCTGCCTGTTAATGTACAGTGAAAGGAGAAACAACACAGTGATGAGCTCACCTCTCTCTCAGTTGTGCTTTTTCAGTTCTTGACCAGCAGTTTGTGTAATCTGATTTCTGGTAACCTGAGTTTATATATGTGTAGCTTAATGCTTTTGTTTAATAATATTGCTCTTTAATAGACATGTGCGTTCTGAATCAAAATTAGGACGCAATTTCGGAAATTCGGATATAACCAAATTCCGAATTACAGATATAACGAATGCAAACCAATCCGAATTTCCGATTCCGAAATTCGTTAGCGTGATCACACCGCCCACCTTGTGAATGAGCTGGGGTACCCCAACTCATTCACTAAAGGGTTACAATCCAAAGAAAATAAACAAACCAGTCTTTTAGAGAAAATCCTTTAATTGAAAAAAAAACAGAGACAATTTTTGACTATGCCTTTAATTGAAACAAAAAAAATTAAAATGACCCTCGCCGATCCTCCGAAATAAAAAAAGTCCCGACGCACGACAACCAGTCCGAAACCGACGAAAGCTCTCCGCAAAATGACATTCGGCGCGAAAGTAAACAGATGGGCAGAGCGGACAGTGACATCACGGCTCACTCCTCCCATTTGACATTCTCAGCTGCCAAATACAACATAGCATTCGGGAGCTCCCATAATGCCATTCAGGTCAGTGATCAGAGGTTTCATAATACTTTTCATGAATACTTTTGGACGAATTTTCGTTGCAGCAAAGTTACATTTTTTTTTTGCAACAAAGGAAGGAAACGACAAATCGTACAGAATACCACTAACAAATTTCGGCCAAATCCGAATTCCGAAACGAATTGAGTTTCGGACCCGAATCCCGATAAACGAAATAATGCAAAATCAGAATCAAAATGAAACAAAACACATTTTTTGCTGGTGCACATGTCTAATGGAATCTGCATCGGGGGAATATGAATCCAGTCTGAATGTTTGGTGAATGTCACGTTCAGTGCTTTATAAATACACCCTATGATGAATGAATAGGACATTTATTTTATGTATATTGTAGCTATTATCATGAATATTTCGAAATTATTATTGTTTTTCTGTACTTAAAGCCCATCTCTGATATATAATTATCCTCCCGCCCATGCCCCCTATATCTGATCACTAACATGAAATACAATTCCCTTTCTACGTACCTAAAGCTGCGGTCACATCACACTTCAGTAGGGTTTTTTTCTCTCCTATATCAATTGCTTCCAGCAGGGTTCCTCTTCAATTGTTCATGGCACTGCCTGTGTGAGGTGAACACCTCTTATTGGCTGTCCAGCGGTGGGATCTTCTCAGGATTCAGAGAAAGAATTATGTCAGCGTGAGGTGATGTAGGGGATTGACTGGTGAGGGATTATCTACAGCACTGGATTAGCGGTCCCCTGAACCGGGCTGGCTAATTTAGGTGAGTAGAACTTGTTTTACCAGGTAAAAACTTTTATAAACTTTGCAGGATGGGTTAGAAGAGGGTAGGAGAGAGGGGTGGGAGAGTGTGAGAGGGTTCATATCTTGCCTGGAATGAAGCTTTAATTGGCTTTTCAAGTTTGGTAGGTTAGGAAAACTTCACATTACGATAATTAGGGTTGCACAGATACCAAGTACAGTACTCGGTACAAGTACGAGTACATGTACCGATACTTTTGAGCTCCAAGACTATACTAATGATTCTCTAGATTTTTTTCCAGTCCTATGATTGCTGCCACTGCAGTATTTATTATTACTATAATTCTCTACTGCATACTTTTCTGTACAGCTACAGTACCTACAGCACTTCTTTCTTTCAATGACACACAGGGGCAGACCTACCGCCAGTGCAGCCGGTGGGCTTCTGAGTAGGGTGAGTGAGGTCCAATGTAGGGATTCACCGATGCCATTTTTTTAAGTTGTAATACAAAAATTAGGAACCATCACACAAACTGGGACACCACCCCTATATATGCAATATATATCAAAAAGGGGGAAAGAGAAAGAAAGGGGCTTTGTGGTGACCACTGGAGAATAGCAGGGAATTGATCCAATAATAAAGTCAATTGATTCATATATATAATAAAATTCAATTTTTAATATACTCAATTCATAATGTCTATACATATAAATATGCTAAAACTCATCCATATAAAAAAACATAAATAGATGTATACACCATAAATAACCTCCCTGGAACCCACACAGAAACCATGATTATAAATTCATATATTGGTCATTGCCCTCATTATATTCATATCTTATTTGCATATGCGCACGCGCGAAACCTCAAGAAAGTACAGTACCCAAAATTGGCCATAGGCGACGCTATAAAAGCTTTTACCGTTCATCAGTTTAGTGTTATCAGTGATTGATGGCCCTGAAATGATTGCTCTCACTCCGACGTTCGTGGCAATATTGTCCTTTTTTGCGCGCTGGTGCATCGAACGTGTATTTACGTTTATATGTGCGTAAACGTGGGGGTGGGGGACTTAATAAATATATATTTTTATTTTTTTTAACTTTTTTATATATGTGACCTTTATTTT